CCCCTGACACATAATTTCCAAGAGAAACAGCCTGGTTTAATTTAATTAGTGAATAATAAGATTAGCCTTGTATACCCCAAATCATGCACAGATCAATTACACAAATATTAACTTAATAACTACTATTTGTAAAACACTGGACTAAGTGCCAGAAATCCCTGACATTTGTATAATCCCCTGGCATAATATTATATTAACTCTTTACATTCACTGTACTTAGCCATCATCTTCATTTTACAGTTGGGCAACTGAGGCTGGGAGGGATAAGTGGTTTGGTAGTAAAGGCTACCAGTCTAACATGTGTTAAGAGTCAATTTAGTGATTTGCTTCCAGTGAATAAAATACTTTGGGAGTAATGCCTAGTGGTAATTTCTATTGCAGGTAATAAAAAGGATAACTACTACCAGTCTCTTTCTCATATTCTCTCAGACTCTTCCCCCATTTCTAACTCTCATTTGTCTCTCCAATCACTCTTCTTAGAATAACAATCTGGCATGATATGAGGCCACTCAAGCAGCTCTGTACAGAGGCCCACTTGGTGAGGAACTGAGACCTTCCACAAAAACCCAGCATCCATATGTTCATCATGAGTAGATTACACCACAGAAACAAATCCTTTAATCTCAACCAAGCCTTTAGGTGATGGCAGTCCTGACTGATCCTTGTCTGCTGCATTTGGCCTTGAACAAGTGAAATTGCTTTTAAATTCTTGACACTCAAAGAGCATGAGACCATATTGTTTTAAGTCACTAAGCTTTGGGGTACCTCTCAATAATAGATTACTAATAGATCTAGCCAATATTATGACATAACCATAATGAGTAAATGAATGATTAAAGTATTTTCTGTGTTCATATGACACAGGGAGACTAGTGACATATAACTAGTATTCACTGCATTGGTCTTTAAAAATCTGTAGAGATAGAATAAAAGCAAAAAATTTTACAGGGAGAAGAAAACTAAGAGCTTTTGTAGCTTAAGTCTTTCTTGATCAAGTGATTTAGACATAGAAGGTACTCAAAAATAGTTTTGGTATAAACACACACACACACACACACACACACACACACACATATTCAGTCCTATGGTATTGTTTAAATTTATGATTCACCAAAATAGCACTTATAGTTAAACAAAGTATCATCAGAAGCAGTCCTGTGCCAACTTTCTCAATTCTTGTTCCCCTTAAATATCTATGCTTACATTTTAATTTTATATTTTCTGATAATTACCTTCTAGTTCCAAGATGTCAAGTTTATGCTTTCATGTCTTGATTTATTAGCCTGAGAAAGTATTTACAATGTAGTCATGGGAAATTTCTTTCTTACCCCAACCTTTTTTTCTTTTTCTGTATTTGTAGGGAAAGGTCTACAGGTGTTCAGGGTTTCACTACTAGACTGGACTCGCAATGATCCTCCTGTTTTCAGTCTCCCAAGTGCTGGGATTACAGGCATATGCCACCACGCCCACTCTCAATTGCTTTCTCAGCATGCCCCAGGGATGGGGCTGGCAAGGCAGGCCCAGGGATCAAACCCCCTGGCTCCTGCACCTGCTTGCAGGTGCTTTAATCTGCTGAGCTATTTGGCCAGCCCTTATCCCGACCTTTTTTAACTTCCCAATACAACTACAATTTTTCAGTTAAATCAATACTTGTATTTATATTTTTATGAATGTAAATATTATTCAATGCTGAGTCAAAAAATGCACAATGATTATCTGCTCCAATCAGATTGTTTTCTTGGACTTGTTTTTATTTTATTGTCTTAGTTTTTAATGTATGTACTGTTTGTTTCTAAAGCATTAAGAGATTTATCTAATGTCTGGCAATAAGTGTTGCCAACTCTCAAGCTCACCAGATAATCCATAAGTTTAATATTTTTCTTTTCTTGGCACCTCTGTCCGCAGAAATCTACTCTCTCACTCTGATCTAGGCTGGTTACACTGTAGCCTAGACTGGTTGCATTGTAGCCCAGATGTCCTGATAGGACTCTCTTTAGTCATTTTGATTTTGTAATTATTCTTGAAAGAGAATTTGCTAGTGTGAATATAACTAAACTGCAGAAGCATTAATATTTTAAAGAGAATTCTAAATTATTAGCATATATGGCTTCTATGTCCTAGATTCGCCAGCCTGTGAGGTCACATAAAATGAAGTTACAATTACTTTTGATGGCCAAAGTATAGTAGTTCATGCCTTTATAATTTCAATGTATGCAGTCAATTCCATTAACTTTGCAAAGTGCCCTCTAAGTTTTCTAGAAGGTCTAATAGAGGAATACACATGTACTTACCCATTCATCTATCTACCTGTTGCCACAAGGCACTTGCCGTGTTCTTCTGCTTCAGCTCCCTGGACAATGTATATTGTATTAGGTACTTGTTTGAAAATGTTGATGATATTCTTCTGTGCTGATGTATTATGCAGGGTAGGCTTTGTATGGGCCAAGGGTGTTTTCTTTTGATGTTTCCCTTTCCAAGTATACCAGGAGGTACTAGTCTCAATGGGGGGGTAATCTGAAAGACTTTTTTCCAATTCTCTATTACTTTCCTTCCATGGTTAAAGTCCAAAGCCCTTAAAGACCCTTTTAACTTATCTTCTTCATACTTTTGATTTACATACTCCCCCATCACCTTACATTCACACCCAAAATAATTCTTAGTCATGACTGGCTGCTAACCACCATCTCTATTGGGATAGCACAGAAGCTATACGATGTAGAGATACAGCTCAACCACATTTACTAATATCATTTATCTGAGGTTTTGCTTTCCATAGTTTAAGGTTTTTCTTTTTTGGTTTGTAGCAGTCCAGAAATATTAAATGGAAAGTGTCAGAAATAAACGCTGCATAACTTTTTTTTTTTTTTTTTTTTTTTTTGCAGAACCGGGGATTGAACTCAGACACTTGGGCTTGCCAGGCAAGCACTTATTCTACTGAGCCATGTCCCCGGCCTGCATAACTTTTAAGTTGTATACCATTCTGAGTAGTGTAAAATCTTGCACTGTCCTCCTTTGTGCAACCTGAAATGAAACATCCTTTATCCAGCATATACACATTGTGTATACAGACAGTTGGTTCCCATTAGTCACTTAGCAGCTACCTTGGTTATCAAACTGACTGGCACAATATCTCAGTGCTTCGCTATAAGGTTTCATAATGTCAGTGGTGTTATGCATCCACTAAGGATCTTTGAGTATGTAGCTATCAGTCATCCTGCCTATCACTGGAACAAAATACCTGGTACTCTCAACTTAAAGAAGGAGAGATTTATTTTTGGCTCACAGTTTCAGGGGTTTCAGTCCTTGGTCAGCTGACTCCAAGGCAGGAACATCATGCCAGAGGGTCATGGCGGAGCAAAGTTACTCACTTCATGGCAGCCAGGAAGCAGAGCACAGGGGAAGAGTGCCAGTGAGAAATGTGCCCTCTAAATGGGCCCTACCTCCTAGCAGCACTTTTAGCTATGGAACTGGTGGATTAATCCACGGATGAATATGGTACTCCATAATCCAACCACATTGCCAAGTATCTCTCACTTCAGTTGAGTTAACAACTAAGCTTAACTGCAACAGTTGAATGGGACTATTATAATTTATTACCAAACTAAAAGTTTAAGTTAACATTTATATATTAGCTATTTTCTCAAATAAGAGAAATGGCATTAAAGTGAGATGAAATATCCATTCTGGAGATAGAATACTATTTGTTACTTATGAATGATGGGCCTTTTAATTCATTAAACAAAGTTTTAGAAAACTTTACAATCTAATCTCAATCCAAGTACCATACTGAAAATTTTTAAATATGTCCATATATTTTTGGAAAATACCAAAGATTTTTTTTTGCCTGGGAAAAATTTAGAAACCTTATGTAGATATTTATAAGCACAAATCTTGAGCTTACACATATATACATGCATACACTGAAATATGGCTGAAACACAGAACTGGAATATGGTTAGTCTTCTGTATCCTCAGGTTCACATTCTTGGGCTCAAGCAATATTGGGTCAAAATGTTTGGAAAAAGATTGCTTCTGTATTGAACATGTAGAGACTGCTTTCCCTATTCCATTGTCATTATTCCCTAAATAATGTAGTATAACAACTATATACATAGCATTTATATTGTGTTATACATATTTTAATTTTTAATTTTTAGGGCCAGTCAAATATCTCAGCAGATTAAAGCGCCTGCAAGCAGGTGTAGGGGCTGAGGGTTCGATCCCCAGGCATGCCGTGCTGGTCCCACCCCTGGGGCTTGCTGAGACAGCAATTGAGACTGGGGCGTGGTGGCACATGACTGTAATCCCAACTCTTGGGAGGCTGTAAATAGGCGGATCACTATGAGTCTGATCTAGTAGTGAGACCCTGAACACCCTGTAGACCCTTCCCTAAAAAAATTAAAAAAAATTAATTTTCAACTTTTTTTAGCCAGCTCTGTAGTTCAGGCTGACTTTGAGCTCACTTTGTAGCCCAGGCTGGTCTTGAACCTGCAAAGATCCTCCTACCTCAGCCTTCCTAGTGCTGGGATTACAGGTGTGCACATGCCTGGCCATAAGAGTCTTTTAGAGATGATGATGATGATGATGATGATGATGATTATCTATCTATCTATCTATCTATCTATCTATCTATCTATCTATAGTGCCATTTAATATAAGGACTTGAGCACCTGAGAGATTTAGTTTCCATGGGGGTCCTAGAGTCAATTCCCATTGAAGAACAAATTATAGTATTTCAGACTTTTACTAATTCACATTAGTCTTCCCTAAAGAAATGTTTAACATGCTAAGCAACTGGGCATTAATCTAGCATATTTCCTTTTCTTTCTTTCTTTCTTTTTTTTTTTTTTTTTTTTTTCTCCAAATGCCTTCAGGGCAGGTTTGGCTGGCTTGAGTTTTGGGGATCGAACCACAGCAACCTGAGCCTGACTGCTTTATTGAAGCAGCCTAATCTAGCATATTTCTCCTGATATGTCATCCAAAAATGAGGCCTAGCTTACCTTTCCTATGACATCCATTAACAACTTAAGAGCTCGAGGATCATGAACCAAAGAGTCTGTGTAAAATGAGCCTAGGTATTTCTTTGGGTCAGTTGGATTGTCCTGGGCACATAGATCTGGGCGCATGTTGAATCCATGTGAGATTCTTCCCACTGTGAAAGGGAAAGCACCACCTGCAAGTAGAATGTGTAAGTCAGGAGTGTGGGTTAAAAAGGATTCCTTCCCATCTTGGTGTTTTATGTAGAGAGAAGTTACCATAGCCCAACTGATGAACAGTATTTAAAAGGATGTGGTGGATCCAAATCATGGGAGGTGATACAAAAGAAATGATGACTCATCTAGAAAGTCAGACATGAGGCATTTATCCTCAAGAGAGAAGACAAGCATGCAAAGATACAAGGCTAGTGTTTTCAAGTGTAGTGTATTTATCATAGTGAAATGTCAAGACAGTGTCATCATTTGAGTGATATCTAAGTCATGACAGCATTTCCATAAAATGAAATGCTGTGTACAATGTCATGAAGAAATGATACAGTTCTGTATTTATTGCCATGGAATGATATCTTCACTATGTGTTGGGAAGGAAAAGCAGGTTAGAGAATAATATGTATAGTTTGATATTATGTATGTGTAAGTGTATATGTTCAAAAGTCACAATCTGTACCTACAGGGACCAGGCAAGTAATACAGAGAAATGGATTAGGCCTTTGTAAACAATGGAGAATAGTAGAGACCAGGCAGCTCTTAGTCTTATTAGAGATATTAGAATAAAAAACAAATGCAATTAAGCAAAAACTAAACTTGCCTCTAAAAATAGAGTTTGGCCCCAAATATCATATGACTAGAATTATGACTCAAAAGATATTATAGACTTAATTGTATTCTTCCAGAGTTCCTCTGTTGACATTCTAACCTCTAATATGACTGTATTCAGAGACAGTGCCTTATAGAAGAAATGAAAATTACTTGAGTGTGGAAGGCAGGGCCCTAATCCAAAAGTACAAATGTCCTTATAAAAAGAAGAAACATCTGTTCTCTCCTTTTTCATTTCTCTGTTCTACATTTCACTCTCTGGCCTTGTATGCACAGAGGAAGGGGCATCTGTGAGCTAGGAAGAAAGCTCTAATTGAAAAGCAGCCCTGCCAAAACCTTGATCTTGGACTTCTTTAGTCTCCAAAACTATGAGAAAATAAATATCTGTTGTTTAAACTGCCTAGTCTGTGTATTTTGTTATAGCAGACCAGGCTGATTAATACAAGTAGGATCTTACCTCCATGTGCAAAACATACTTTCAGTTTGGGAAACTTCTCAAACACCCCACCCATGATCATTGAGCAAACAGCCATGGTGGTCTCTGAAGGCATTCCTGAAAGAGGAAATAGATAAAAAGTTCAAGTTTGTGTTCTTCACCAAGAAGAAGCTCAGTGACATCAATGGCCAGGGAATAACAGGTAATATCAGGGGAATTGCCAATGCTAATAATTGTTGTGTTCCTGATTCCCCAGCATGATTTGGCTGTTCACAGGCCATTACTAGGTGAAGAGAGTCATTGGGATTCTTCCTATTCACCATTTGCATAGAAAATGTTGTAGTGGCTAGAATATCTTTTGTCTTGATTCTCCTGACTTCAGTTTGGGATGCAGTGGGGCAGGCAAGGTATAAGGAGTCTGGGCTGAATGCTAGCTGTTGCAATTCTCTGCCTCCTAGCCTGTGATGTTATTTAATGTAAGATGAATAAGATGAATACAATGTTGCCTATCTTGTAAGGCTTTTGTGGGGTTTGGCAAGTAATGATATTACTAAAGTTCTTGAGAAGCTCATGTTGGAGATATTTAACAAATATTGGTTGTCCTCTGTGTTTCAATTTCCTCATCTATAAAATGACCATCATAATAGGTCCTCCCAGTGGGTTGTTTTGAGCACTTAGCAGACAGCACCGGAGAGTTATTGCTCATTAAATATTAACTATTATTATTCCTGCCAAATCATTGCTGCCTCTCATGGTTAGTGGATTAGGGTGAATCATTTGAAGTGCTCTGTACTCCAAAGAGATGCAGCTGGTCCATGTTGGATGCCTTCATGCCCAAGGTGCCAGTCTACGTTGCATTGACACAAGACTGATTGTCAGGCTGTGGCTGAGAGATCTCTGACTGTTGCGCAGATACATCTTGCACCTTATGGGGCCCCCTATCTTTTGGCTATTGATTAGGTGTCCACTAGGCATTCACTTCGTCTGTCAGTGCTCCACAAGGAGAGATGCCCTATCTTTCCAGATTCCTGAGAATTCTGGAAGCTGGATGGATTCATATCCATCGATTAGTGCTTTTGGAGCAGAGCTCCCTGATAGCAGGGGGATGGACAACACCACTTCCTCTTGGACTTGTGATTTTGCTTCACATTAATTACTTGAAACATAACCCCACAAACCATTCTCCATACAAGAGCCAAAATTATATTCACAATGGATTGCGATCCTTCCTCCAATCCACCAACAATCACCTTTACATTCACAACAGCATTTTGAAATTGACCTATTTGTTTATAATTCATGTATTTGATTATCATCCCTTTTCTCTGACTGAAATGTAGCATTATGGGGGTAGAAATTTTGTTCATATCTATATATAGGGCTTAGCATAGTGGAAAGATCTATTAACTAAAGAAAATGATAAAATGATATGATTGTATGAAAATACTCAGGTTTTCATGTCAAAAGTTGTAATTTGTAAAGAAGCTTATGAAATTTGTCAAGGTTTTTTGAATCAGGATAAGATATTTTGGAATCTGGACAGTATCATGTTTTTAAGCAACAATTAGTAGGAAAAAGTTAGTGGGGGATGGGTGGGAACCGGCTATGTTAAATACTTTGGTTTCCGCTAGTGATCATAGGACCATGTAAAATACCATAGCATAAAGAAACCATTGGAGAAATCCAGAACAGGTCTCTCATTTACAGATGAGGAGATGGAGCCCACAGAGGTGAAGGAATTTGCTACAGACTATACCATCAGATAGAGACTAAACTGGCACTGACATTCTAACTTTGGCTTCCAATATATTGCTTCATTTTGTTCTTCGTTTTAGGTGTTTGCCACTTGTAATTACTAATTAGGCTAGAGAGTGAATGAAAGGATGATGGCCCCCTAAAAGGTCCAATACTTCACTCAGGGATCCACTTTTTATTGGATTATTAGATGAGCTGTACTTTCTAGCATTGTCCTCCATGTTTTTTTTTCTGAATAGGCTGATCATGAGGGTTTGGATAGGGTAAATGGGCTTTCTCCTTTTTCCTTTACTGTCACCCTCATGTGGAACCATCATTAATAGTGTAGGAGGCAAAGGACAGAAGAGAGGAACAAATAATAGTAGCATTGAAAGCCTCAACTTTAGGCTTCAAACTACTTAGATGGGAGAAGTTGTCCTTCTACTTGTAATTCAAGTGTTCTCATTTATGACAGCTTATCTGTAAGTCTTTTTGGAAGATTGTGTAGCAAAGTGTCTTTGGAGTCAGGCAGATCTATGTGAATTCCAGTTTGTCTTATAAACTGTGTAACTTGGACAACTTACTTAGCTACTTCATGACTCAGCCTTTCCATCTATAGAAAGTCATTATAATGTCAACCTTGTCAATTAATACATGATTTACTTATCTTACAATTTACTTATAATCATATTGGACACCATTAAAGTGAAGCAAGATAATATAAATGATGATCTAAACAAGAGTTCCATATGTGATAGTTGCTATTACTCTCAGTCCTGTTAATTTTACTTTCTTGATTTGATATAATAGGGTTCCACAGGTGATTGGAAACCCCAAGAATTAGTCCTCTGTCCCAGACCTCAAGCTAACACAAACCTACAAGCCACGGGAGCCAGTATTTGGCCATTCGTCCGTCCATCTGCATGTCCCAGGGATGCACGAACAGGGAGCAGTTCAGCCTTTCTGCCACCTTCAAAGAAGCAACAAGAGAAAAAAGTTATCTGGATGAACCAACAAATACAAGGTATTCTTTTTGGGAAACTGCTTTTTTCCTAATTCTGTATTGATTTGAATAAATAAAATACTTTTGAAGTTTTTTTTATCTATGTAAAAGAGTCATTAAACTGCTGCTTCTTGGAAAATTACAAAGGAAATTTAGAATTAAGAAAAGGGATTGGTGGATTTACCATTGAGGTTGATCAACTTAGTATGTTATTTGGTAAAACAAGTCATAGGAGGCACTCATCACTCAATTGTTTTAGCTGAGGAGAAAATGCTCAAGGACTAATTCTTAACTTTAAATGCAGAGGAACTCTTCCCTGCTGGGTCCTATTTGGTCTGCTCTTTGGGAGAGATGATTAAGATGAAATCCTTGGAGTCATGGCAAGAGTGCTCCTTTTTTCCCCTCTGCTTGGAAATATGAGGTTGTAGGAAGTGAGCAAATGATGGTCTGGGTGCCAGGATCTTAGGGCTGAGTTGGGGCAGGCTGGCCTGATTCAAGCCATTGAGTCACTCACAGCCCAAAGTTGGTGAGAATTTTCTGGGACCTATAGGCAGACTCCATGTGTCCCTGAACAGTCTGCCATAAATAAGATGACTTAGGAGAGGAACAACCACTCAGCACCCAAGCCAAGGCAAGAACTAAGAGGAGTGCATGGGCAAATGTGTTCCAAGCATCTTCTAAGAAATGGAAATATCATCTTGACAGAATGACCTTTATTCACAAAGATGTTTGTTAATGTAAGTCCCTTTAACAAGTATTGAATATTAGTGCTTGCTAAGGTTTAAAAATAGACTTTCCTTAGTACATTTCCATTCCAAATGTAGGGGTGCTGAAGTGGCTCTCATCCTATCTTCTTTCATAAATATTTGGGTTAACAAGGCTGATGCATTATGACTTGTGTACATATGAATTCTTAAAATATAAAAACAAATTTGGACAACAGGAGACTCTGGGAATGGTAGGCAAAAGATAATTGAAGAAGACTTCTAACTCAATTGGTTCTGGGAGCAAAGAGATATAAGCCTTTAGAAAGAAGGGAGGCTAATTGATTTTTGATAATGGATGCAAGGTTTCAAAGAAAATATTATCTTCTTGGGATGGTTTGGATTTTGCAAAGGCATATGATTGTGGCATCTTATTAGGATTTGATCCTCATTAAGATAAAACTTTATTCTATGTATTTATAATGTTTCATTTCTACTCAAATTAATAACTTAAAAATCTCCTATATATGAGACATTATGAAGAACACAAAACCACTTATCTCAAAATCATAATGTTCACTGAGAACTTAGTATGAACCAAAGCTGTTTTAGGATTTTATAATTATTGAGTCTAGGTTCATAGTTTAGTTGTAGAACACTTGTTTACCATATGCAAGGACCTAGATTCTATCCCCAGTCCAACAAAAAACTTACAATTATTAATTACTTCAATTCATAATCAGATGAATGTTTCTATTTCTATCATTTTACAGAAAAGGACTGAAGCAGATAAAACCTAAGTAATTTATTCAGGTATTTTGACTGATTAATGGTAGAGCCAGGCGGTCTGGTGATACCCTTTCATTTGCCTCTTGTTGATAATAAAGTGATTTTCGAACCTGAAAATGGACCTGCATATATATAATTAGATTCACTGTGTATTAAGAGAGGACTAGGAGAAAAGGGAGACACAGATACTCTGGACCACGAGACTTACCCTGAAATAACAAAGTGAGCTTGGCTTTCACAGTTTTCTCTTGCTTGTTTGAACATGTTACTGACGCAAGTTAAGGCGTAGTTAGGCACGCAAGCTTTGCTGACCAAACAAATATGCTATTAACTCTGGGACATTACAAGTCAACAGGGGTCAGGATATGCTCTGGAATCCTTCAGAGACTGGCAGTCCCCCAATGATATAATTAGAATGGTTGGTGGGTAAATCTTGTTGTGTAAATGAGAATAACTGTGTTGACCCCAATTGTCTGCTATTGCTGTCTAAGACCCTTAGTAATTCATAAATTTAATTCCAATAAATAATAAAATGACTTATAGCTGAAGTCTTGCTAGTACTGTGCTACAACAACTTGAATACTCAAATAAATAAATCCTTTTTCAAATCTCATGAAAGTTTACACAAAATATTCATGGTGTCAGCTAAGCTGCTGCAGCCAATAAACTTCAGGAACATTAAGTCTGTCAGGTCATTAGGAGACAATTTACCAGGCAATCCCCAGGTGGTGGGCCATCAGCATAGATACAAACATGGAAGAATTTTTGCATATAATCAGAACTTAATAAATATTAAGTGAATAACTGGCAGTAAGTATAGTTCCTGGTGAGTCTACAAGCATCTATTTAATTCATTATTAGGGATTTTGAATTACAATGAAAATAATAAAAAACAATATTTTATCATTATAATTCTAGGAAGGAAGGAAGGAATTTAAAGATGCTATTGAGTAAATAACCTTCACACTGATTTCCACAGTGGTTGTACCAGTCTGCACTCCCACCGACAGTGCAGAAGGCCCCTCCAGCATTTGCTATTGGCTGACTTCTTGATGTTAGCCATTCCTTCTGGGGTGAGATGGAATCTCAGTGTTGTTTTAATTTGCATTTCTCAGGTGACTGATGATGTCTACTCATCGTCTTGTTTCATCATATGTTATCATTTTCATTGCATTATTTTTCAATATATATTTTTATTACATATTTGCAAAATATGTGGCTTTAAACATTTGTTGATTGAAAATTGGTTAAATAAATCATGACATATCCATATATTGTATTCTTCTGTAGTTATTTAAAATCATTGATTAAGTCAAGCATGGTGGTGTATGCCTCTAATCCCACCCTGGGCTACATAGTGAGTTCAAAGCCAGCCTAAAGTATACAGTGAGATCCTTTCTCAAATAAAATCACACATTAAGATAATTTTAATTTAGTTTGGAAATCACATATGTAGCAATTTCAATTTTGGTGAATATAGATAAATGCAAATTTTACAAATGAAATGTATAAAACAGTGGTTATATTTGAGTGGCATAATTAAGGGTGATTTTTGCATTCCTCTATACTTTTCTGTTGTTTTCAAAATTTCTTTAAAATTTATATTTAAAAAAATTTTAAAATACTTTTCCAAAGTTATTTTTTTTTCATGTCATTAACATAGTTTTTATGCACAATGGGTGTCATCTGGCTGATATTTAGGTTTTCAAAGAAGAGCAAGGGTGATAGAAAGAAGAGATTTCATCATGGAGTTAACTCAGAGCTGCCTACGAAGCATTTGTATTGCCCTTCTTCTGTAGAATGGCTCACTCATTTTTTTGAAGGAGTTTTGGTTTCTGTACCTTCTACCTATATCTAACTTCATTGGCATCTCTGACTCCCCACTCTGCAGTGGGTGGTGCCTTCATCTTCTCCCCACCCACCCAAAGCAGTGCTCAACCCCAGATAGGCTTTCTGCGACTGTGCCCTGGCTGAATGACAGCCATATACTCACTTCATAGAACTGGAAGAGTTCTTGCTCATTCAGGTCCCATGTGTTGACATGGGAGCCAATCTGGACCCCCGGAAAGCCTAACTCCTTTACACAGCGCTCCATCTCCTTGATGGCCAGCTTGGGAGCTTGCATAGGTAATGTCCCCAGACCCACAAACCTCCGGGGATGGCTCGCAACTGTGGCAGCTAGGTCGTTGTTTAAAAACTGGCACAATTCCAAAGTATCCTGAGGTTTGGCCTGGTGGAAAAAAAGAAGGGTCAAAACATACTTCTTAGAAAAAGCCGTACTCTATTTTTAAAGAATATCAAGCACAAGTAAGCCAAGTACTGAAGTGTGGGAAGCCATTAACTGGTATCTATTTTATAATAGTGTCAGCCATTTTCTTAAGTTTCTATTCCCCTGCTGAGTTAAGTTTTTGGGCCTTCCCACCTTGCCCATTCCCCCTGAATCACCTGCTATGCCCTGGAGGTGGGACTTCCTGTCATAGCCCAGTTGCCTAGTTACTCACACCTTTTACCCGCCTATGTCATTTCCCTATGCCTCCACTATATATCCCCAGCACCTCCCCTGAATAAACGAGACTTGATCAGAATCCTATCTTGTCTCCATTTCTCACATCTCCTGTCCTTTGTCCCCTCTCCTCCCCGCTCCTCCCCCAGGTGACCTTCATTGACTAACCCGTGGCTCGGGACACTGAAGTAGATATATACACTGCATGTTTTTATACGTGGCACTTTTATATATTGTATTGGGTTATTGTTCCAGATTAGACTGTTCAATGCTATGTTTGAGGCTGGGTTGTCGTTTTTATAACTATTTTGGTGTTTTTCACCATTATTTATTTTTTTATTTTAAATTTTTTTTAAAAAATTTTATTTATTTGTGTGTGTGTGTGTGTGTGTGTGTGTGTGGCCAGCTCAGCCCACCAGGGGGCGGGGCGGGCTGGCATGTGGTGCTGGGGGATTGAACCGTGGTCCCTGTGCTTTGTTAAGCTTGTTCTAAGTAGGTGCTTTAGACCACTGAGCCATCTCACCAGCCCTTCACCATTATTTATTACTTTTGATGTATGGAATGA